TTGCCCATGCAGGTCTCGAACCCGCGGGCTCAGGCAATTCACTCACCTCGGCCTCCCAAAGGCATGGGATTACAGGCTGAGCCACCGAACCCGGCTGGACTCCAACATTTTTATAAATAATATTCAAAAGGGAAACCGTAGATGTATATATGATGGGTGATAGGAAGCTCCTATTCCTGGAGAACTAAGCAACAAACAAACAAAAAAGTCAAAAAATAAAAAACGATGCACTCATTGCTTAGAGCTTCACTATTTCTGAGTGTGATACAATTAAATAGAAGTTTTTTAATATATTTAAACTGTATTTGACATAGAAAAAAGCAAATTAATTTTCTTAAGTCATTTAAATTCTTGTCTCTCAGCTTAATTGAAAGACATTGGTAGAGAAAAGTAATTTCAATGGTGAGACAAACACAATGCTGGTGTCTTTAGGAGGTCCTGAGCAGGAGCTTTATGTGGTAAGTGAACAGAGGTCATTAAGACAGGAAAAGAATGGAGATGGTAGAGGAGTTTGTCCTCAAGGCTGTTTACAGTTGATTGGTTTATATCTGTTTTAGGTTTGCTGCCCTGCTCAGTTCTTCTTGGCAAACTCTTCAGGATTTGATAAAACGAATAAAGAAATGTATTACAGTAAACTCAGTGACAAGATTTCCACTTCCAGAGTTGGTCTGCCTGCATTTATCCTACAGAAAAGCCCTGTTCCCTCCCCAAGCTCTAATTTTCTCACCCCAAGGATATTATGGTTCGAAAGGGTTAATATAAATAGAAGTTATTGCTTTACACCCTACACTTTATTGGTTTGATAAAGTTTGAGGGAAAACGGGATTAACTCAAGTATGTTGAGGATCAGTGTTTTCACATTTACACTTATTTATAGTCTTGAAGAGAAAGGATTCTATAGGAATACAAAATTATCATTATCACTGGTAAAGTATGCAAATATCTTGTCCACATTTTTCTGATCCAGACTATTACATTTCATTTTAAAATATGATTTCAAAAAATATTCATCAAAGAAACCTTATAGGCTGGGCAGGTGGTTCACACCTGTAATCCCAGCACTTTGAAAGGCAAAAGCAAGAGGACTGCCTGAGCCTAGGGGTTCGAGACCAGCCTGGGCAACTTGGTGAGACCTCGTCTCTACAATAAATCAAAAAATTAACTGGACATGGTGGCATACACCCATGGTTCCAGCTACTTGGAAGGCTGAGGTGGAAGGATCACCTGAGCCCAGCAGGTCAAGGCTGTAGTGGCTGTAAGCATGCTACTGCACTCCAACCTTGGTGACAGAGTGAGAATCTGACTCAGAAAGAAAAAAAAAAAGAATTTATAAATAAACAAAGCTTGAAAAACTGAGAATACTCAGGAAACTCCACACAATCAGCACCACATTTTAGGATACTTTTCCCAAATGATAAAGATAAAGTCAGAATGTAATAATAATAGCAGCAATACTTGAAATATAGTTGAAGGCTGAGCATCTATCTCTTAGGCACTGCTTTATCTGCTTTCAATGTATGTGTATATCTTATGTGTTTCTCACAGAAGCCCTCTGCAATGAGTGCTGTTCTATTCCTATTTTATTGATAAAAAAATCAAGAAACCAAAAATTCTACAGAATATCTTGGTGTATATAAAGAGAATGGAATTTATCTGAATTTGAGGATATCAGATAATTAATCTCCTAAATCCTAGTACTAGGATGTTGCAAAGTATTTAGTAGACACAGAAGACAATAAAGCTTACAAAACTGATACAACAAAAAGGAAAGCAAGCATAACAAAAAGCATATTCACAAACTCAACTAGGCAATCATCTTGGCTTAAGGAGTTCTAAAATAACAAGCTATGTTGCTTGCTTGTTTTCTTAACTTACTGCTACTTGGTATGCTGAAAAGCTTTCAAATCTCTGCAGCACCCCTGCACTGTGGAAAGAGCTTGACTCTGGGCAGCTTCCATCTTTGAGTCAAATGGTCTGCAGAGACCCGACATATTGGTTGTATAATATATTATGTTACCAGCACTTCTTAAAGTGAAATAAACACAGGAACAAATGATGATGATGGTATATGTGGAGCAACAGCAATATGCCATACTTTGGACAGAATTGAGCTTGGTAAGGTAACATATTTTTCTTTTCATTCCTTCATGTAGAAAAGGGCTAAAATAGCAGTCAGTGCTCTACTAGCACTTAGCTGCCAATGGCAGACTATTTCTTTGGTTTTAAATAACATAGATTAACTGTGGCTCTCAGTAAAATAGGGACCTTAGTGTACCACAGGTCCCCACACTGTGCCACACTGCTCACAGAAAAGCACTTAGCAGTTGGGTGTAATCAAATTTGTGAAATCTGACCCAGAAAAGTACCTCATTGTTTATCGGAGCACTATAATAAATCTTTTGCAAACCAGAGGATTTATTTGTAATGTGAATTATCTCTTAATTTGTCTGTTTTTCAGTTTGAATTTTTGTGTACATGTGGTATTCTTAAAGTAAGACACGTTGGGAATTTATGGAAACCATTACTCTTAAACTGACCCACCATTCCACCCTAACTCCACCAAACCGCTGCTACTGGGAATAGGCGAAACTACAGTTTTCAGGATGCAGTTCCTCTTTCATTGTTTATATAGCCCGATCGTTACCCTCACTGCTTTCTGGGAAATGTAGTTTATTATCAGTAATTACAAGGGCTGGGAAAACATGGCTAGTACGTAGGAGGGATCCGCCCCTCCATTGACCCCGCCCCGGTTGCTTAGGAGACGAGAGACGCCTAATCCTGGTTCATGTGTTCGCGCCGGGCAGGGCAGGACAGGCGCCGCGGGAAATCCTCTGAGATTCATGTAATTGAGGTCTGAACCTCGAAGAGGCCCATGGAGAGCCTTGACAGCTCCTCCCAGGACTGGTGCCACAGTAAGCAATACAGGTTTGAGATCGGCCCCCCGGACTTGCTGGAGCGCAAGGGCTCCCTGACTCTCCGCTCCCAGCACAAGAAATACTCGAAACCCGTGTTGGTGTATTCCTGGTGAGCTCCCCGAAGTTCCCGATTGCTGGGAGGGGGGGGAGCGAAAAAGGGATGGGACAGGAAAAGAGAGGGGACAAGAGTGGAGAAGAGAGAGGAAGCAGAAAAAGAGAATGAGAAGCGTAGAAAAAGAAGGAAAAGAGAAGAAAAAGATGAGACAAGAAAGAGAAGTGGGACGGGGAGAAGAGAGAAAAGTAAGAGAACAGAGACTTTCGAAGGAGACATGGAGAAGGTGGGAGTGAGAGTTGGGACAACCAAGAAGAGATAAGAGAATGCTTCGGGAGCAACTCCCTAGCACACACCAAACCTGCTGCAGTCAAGTCGCTGGCAACCTGAGGTTTAGATCATCCACACAAGGGAAGGAGTCGGGGTGTTTTTAGAGATCTGGAAGATTACGTGTCTGAAAAAACATGCTTACTCCTAAAAGGCATTGGAGGCCAATGGCATAGTGAAAGGTGATATCTGTTCAGATGACTAGCCCCCAGGGCTGCCATTTCTTTGGTGGGAGGAGGGGAGGGAGAGAAGAAGGGGACACACTGAGTGATTTGAAATATTCCCTAAATATTCTCTAGGCTACTTATTGGTTTCTTCTGGGCAGAGACTGCAAACTGGCATCTCCCACTGAGTAAGGCCAACAGACATTGTTTGGCAGGCACTGTGTTTACACTTTTTTCTTTACACTTTTTAATTTGATGACCACATTTAAAACGAAGAAATTCACTTACAAATCAAGGGTTGCCTGCTCTTGAAAATGTGAAAGACCTGGTGAGAGAGGATTTGACTCCTCCTGGTAACTATGAATGTACCAGAGCCGAGCACCAGCTACTCCTAAGATGAGTCTTGTTCTCTCTCTAGAACTTCACTCATATGGTTCTTACCTGTCCCCAAGAGGCATTTGGTTTACTTCCTGTGCTTTAGGCCTTGGGCTTGAAATACACTTAAGAGATTTTCTTCAATTATAAATATCATAGTGACCAATAGCAACACCATGACATATACTGAGATAAAAGTGGGATCTTTTAGGGCAGTTAGTGGGATCTTTCCTTTGGATTAATTTTTCTGGCTATATTGCTGACAATAATTACTTTTGCAGTATTTGGAACATTTGAGGGGAGGGGGAAGAAAGAGAGAAATGAAGTAACAAATCTTGTCTACTTTATACTTTTGCTTTTTAAAAGGAAGTGAATGATTTTTTACTCTAGCCTGCTAAGACCTACTTGATCCCATTCATTCATGTAATTGAGACCTGCAGTTTCTGCCTTGCAAACTTTCCAAAGCCTAGTCCCTGCTTTCTCACAGCTTACTTTTCTACATTTACTTCTTATCCCTAAAATTGACTCTCTCACCTACTTTGAACTCAGTGTGAAAGTTTATATAGATTTGGAATTCAAGGCTATACTTGGAAGCAGAAAATCTTCTTTTAGCCTCATATAGGGTTTACCTCATGACCCTCAAGCAACACACTTAGTTCTACTGTGATTCTGTTACTCCACTGGGATTTGGGTCATAATATAAATCACCACTAGGCATTATTGTTAAAGAGAAAGACCTTTTGCAAAGGGATAGTGCTTCTGCTGTCTTCTGCACTACCATTGCTTTGAAACATGCCTTGTGAACATCAGAGACATCAATAGGAAAACCACAGAAGAACATAAATGAGAAGGAGGTGGGGAACCTGGTGAGGGGAGAAGGGTAGTGGAATACTGTAAATTATTCCAGCCACTGCTGAAAATATAAAGGGCTGTCACACCATTGGTGTTATCAGGAAGGCTTGGGAGCAGGAATACTTAAATTAAACTAAAAAACATTTACATGTCATGCACTTTGCTATGTGTTGGGAACACAGAGATGGAAAAACATTCAATGAGATAATTTATGTAAAGCATTTATCATCATTTCTGGAAAATATTAAGTGGTCAATAATATAGGTAGCTAATTCCATTTTATTTAGTATAATACAGTGGTTAAAAACTTGAGCTCAGCCGGGCTCGGTGGCTAAGCCTGTAATCCCGTGCCTTGGGAGGCTGAGGTAAGTGAATTGCCTGAGCCCGTGGGTTTGAGACCCGCCTGGGCAACTTGGTGAGACCTCACCTCTACAATAAATCAAAAAATTAGCCGGGTGTGGTAGCGCGGGCCTGTAGTTCCAGCTACTTGCAAGGCTGAGGTGAAGCGGCCACTGCACTCCAGTCTGGGCGACAGAGTGAGACTCCAACTCAAAAAAATAAAAAAAAAAAAGCTTGAGCTCTAGAGTTGAATACCAATTTTGCCACTATGTAATGTGGTAAATGACTGCTCTGGGCCTCTGTTTCTGCAACTGTCAAATGGGTTGATAGGATTATTGTAAGATTAAATGAAGTATAGTATGTGAAGCCCCATTTAACATGTAGCCTGGCACATAGTAAGCACAGTAGAGGTTATTTATATATATTAGAAAGTGGTCATTGACATCAAGGAGTCTCATAGGCCGATAAAGGAGGATAATGTCAATAAATTCAGTATCATTTGACTTCTAGAAAATAGAGATGATTATAAGAAGCGAAGATGACAGGAAGGTGTGTGTGTGTGTGTGTGTGTGTGTGCGCGCGCACATATGTGTGTTTTCCTGAGCATGGTTTTGATCTAAGAATAGGAACTTCATAGGTGGACAGTAGAGAGCAGGCAAGTGCAATGGAATAGTAAGAAACAGTGCCATAGGAAATAGAAGTCGTTCTTCATAGTTGACAGGTAGAGTTGATCCTTATAATTTGTGGATTCTGAATTGAAAATTCACCTACTTACTAAAATTTATTTGTAACTCAAAATCAATTCTTGAGGCACTTGTTTGATCAACTGTCAACAAGTGCAGAGCAGCAAAAAAGGGAAAACAATTGGAATTTCTCAATGTGCATGTGATCAAAGTGACACACTACCTTTGTTTCAGCGGTCATACTGTAAACAAGTGTCCTTTTCAAGGTCTAGTGAGTACTACACATTTTGCTTTTTTTTTTGCTTTTTGTTGGTGGTATTATTGTTTAAAATGGCCCCAGCCAGGCTCAGTGGCTCAGCCTGTAATCCTAGCACTTTGGAAGGCTGAGGCAAGTGGATCGCCTGAGACCACGGGTTTGAGACCAGCCCGGGCAACTTGGCAAGACCTCATTTCTACAATAAATAAAAAATTAGCCAGGTGTGGAAGCACACGCCTGTAGTTCCGGTTACTTGGAAGGCTGAAGCAGAAGGATCACTGGAGCCCAGCAGGCTGACCCTGGGGTGGCCGTGAGCATGTCACTGCACTGCAGCCTGCCCCCAGAGGAAGTGCTTAGTGCAAGAAGGCTGTGATATGTATGCCTCATGGGGAAAATATGAGTGTTAGAAAGCTTCATACAGGTATAAATTGTAGTGTCATTAGCAGTAAATTAAATGTTAATGAATCAACAATATATAGTAAGCAAGGTGTCTTTAAACAGAAACACACATTAAAAAAAGGTTATGTATTGATTGATTGAAAAAACTGTGTTACCAAGGTTCACAGGAACCTAACCCTATATTTCCTATAGGAACAATTGTTCAGTATTCTCTATTTGTGGTGACTTTACAGAACAAGTACTGATTTTTGAATTACAAATAATGGACTATAAAATATGAGAAACACCAGCATTTTCTGAGCTGACTGTACTGCTGCCGTTCTTGTTTTTCTTCCATATCCAATCAGTCACCAACATCTGTACTTAAAAGCTGAATAAGATTCAGATTGTGTAAACTTCTAAATGAATGATGTCATTAACTTTTGTTTCTATGCATTTTGGTCATAATTGTTAGCTTTGTAGTGGCTTGCTTTATAATATATTAAAACTTTTATTGAATTTTAATATTTTATTAGCAATTTCTTATTTAATTGATGAACACCTAGTACCTATAAACACACCATTTGCATGGCCTCTCAACTGAGTATCTGATCAATTAAGTGACTATACCTATAGGTACAAAATAGAATCTGTAACTGGGAGAAATTCTGATTTAACATCTAATTATACAGTTCAAACATTTGAGTCTTTTCTATGTTTCTCTTTATCTGGCATGTGCTAGAAGTCTGTTTGACCTCACTACTCATATTAAAAACATTTTTGTATGATAGTCATAATAAAGTATAATACCATTCCCAGAATGCCTGTTAGGAGATATCTCTAGTCCATTATTGGGATGGGACATTGCCAAAGAGCTATGTCTTTCTTGCAACTGGAGTGGTAGACAGAGCCATAACCCCCTCATCATATCTTGAGGCTTCGGGTGAGATGCCTTTTCTAGAAGTTATCTTTCCCTACTCATTCCTGTAGTATTTATGGAGCCAGATCATCAGAGGATTCCATTAGCAATTCTTTGTTAAGGGGAAATTATTTCTTAGACTATCTTCCCACTCATTGGAATACTGGAATACTAAGAACCAGAGCAACTGATACTTGCCCCTTAATAAATTCTCACATGTGACACTAATCCTTATATTCACACATTCATTCATTCTCATCTTTCCTTTGGCCAAATTGATAGCTGGTAACAAGTGATAATAGTTTAAAGCCAAAAAAAAATTCATTCGGATCTCCATGGAGACAGTTCCTGCTCTGGTCTCCATGGTGATACTTAGTTTTAAGGACTCAGGTTAATTTTATATATTTGTAATTTTAATTACTTTTCTTTCCTGCCCAAGCCCCAAATTAAAAAACCTGGGCGTTTTACTCCCCACCCCCATAGGAAGAAACCAGAAAGATAAAGAGAAAAAAACGGGGAGGGGAATGTGGTAATAACTGTGGGGTAGGGGACTTCATAGTTTGAAAGATTTTTTCAAAATCATTTGAGCAGGGTAATAAGTTAGAATTAGAATTAAAGGGGGAAAACTCAACTTTCTGTAAAGCTCCTCAGACTTCTACCCTATTGTGCCCTTTGAACAAGGAGTTCATATGTATTTAAGGCACTCCACATTTAGAGGAGATCCCAGTTCCAAGGCACCAGGATATCTTCTGTGTACTAACATA